CGGGGAACTTACCTGGGGGAGGCTCCGGCTTGGCGAGCGGCGACTGCGTCCCCGGCGCCCCCTCCCCCGCTCCCGCAGCGGCCGGCTCCCTCCTCACAGGCGGCGCGCTGCGGGCATCCTCGGGGCAGCCATTTTGGCTTTTAGCATGGCGTCTGCGGGGCTCCTCCGCTGGCGCTCGCCGGGCCTCCGGGCTTGGGCGCAGCGCCTCCGGGCGAGAGGCTGGCGTGGGTCCGCTGGGCACCGAGTTGGCGGCGCTTGTCTGTCCTCTGGAGGTTGGGAACCCCCGGAGAGGGCCGGGGGTGAGTGGCTCGCCTCCTGACCCCGGCACCCCCTGCCGAGGTGGCGTCCTGCCCCCTCCCCCGCGCCGCGGTGCGCGGTTGCCCCTTGACAGCCACGCCGCTTCGGGCTACGATCTCCTGCAATGGCTTGCGAGCCGCCGGCGAAGTTTGCCTTCCCACCCTCAACTTTTCCATGCCCCGGCTGCCGCCGGACTGGACTCGCATTTCCTCTAGCGCTTAATGATTCATCAACACTTTTCACTGCAATTTTCTCTTTTTGAGTCGGCTTGTCTAGACTTTGCCTTCTACATCCTCGTTGTTCTCATACAAAGCAGAAACCGGTCTATCTGTACTGTATGTATGAAATGTCTGCGGGAAGAATTGGTCTTAATTTGAAGTAAAACGTACTTTTTGTTTTGGTACCAAGCGCAAACAAAGCTAAGCGTCCACGTAATGTGAACCTCTGATAGACTTGAGTTATCCTAACTCTTGGAAGATGCTAGTGTCGGGTTCAAGCCTTGAAGTTTCAGAATTGCTGCATCGCTTGAAAGGATTATTTGAGTTGTAGGATAGTTGCATTTAGTTTTAAATTCCTTTCCAGGGTATAACTTGAACTTAGAAGAAAAAAAAAATGTATGCATCTAAACGTTGCACCTGTTTTTAGGAATTTTGGATGTAAGGAATATTGTTCATTATTATACACACACATACAACACACCTTTGGTGAATTTAGGAAGAAGTAATGTTGAAATGGAAGATTGATTATGTAGAAAAGGTGTTCTCAAATAAACATGAATCTTCAGTTTGGTTTTGAACCAGTAAACTTTATCACATTGATTATAAGGAATTTCATTCAAAAATTAAAAATACCTGGGTGTATGGTGGCACACGTCTCTAGTTCCAGCACTCAGGAGGGAAAGCAGGTGGATCTCGGTGAGTTCAGGCCACTGTGGCTTACATAGAGAGTTACAGGACAACCAGAGCTACATAGAGTCTATCTCAAACAAACAAAAAAGTAAAAGACACATTAAAAATAATATTGTTTCGCTGACAAAAGCATTGCAAAACCAGTGATTGGACCAGTAAATATTTGTTGTAAGTTTTTGTTTTGTTTGAGACAGGCTTTCTCTGTGTATCCCTTGGCTGTCCTAGAATTCAGCTCTGTAGACCAGGCCTGCTTGTCTCCCGAGTGATGGGATTAAAGGTGTGTACCACCATACCCAGCTCTGTGTGTGTGTGTTTATTTTTTATTTGTATATGTGTGCCTGAATGTATGTATGTATGTATGTATGTTTGTGCACTACATGTATGCAAGGGTCAGAAGACAGCATTGGATCCCAGTAGTTACGGATGGTTATGGGTGGTGGGTATTGAACCTGGTCTTCTTCATGAGCAGCAGTTGCTCTTAACCATGAGCCATCTCTTCAGACCCTGTTTGCTTTTGTTTACTTGTTTTTTTTTTTTTTTTAACACAGGGTCTTATATCCCATGCTAGCCTGGTACTAGACTGGCTTTGAACTCAGATATTTGCCTGCCTCTGCCTCTGCCTCCAGAGTGCTGGGATCAAAGGCCTGCGCCACCACTGCCTGCTGTTGTGATTGTTTTGAGACAGTCTCTGTAGTCTTGGGCGGCCTGAAACCACTATGTATAACAGGCCCTTTTCTCTCTCTTAGAGATCCATCTGCTTCTGCCACTTAAATGCTGGGGTAAAGGTTTGCAGCACCTCACCCAGCAAGCCAGTAAACTTTTATTTTACTCCACAAAGTGGGTTAAGTTAAACTTAAAAATCTTATGTATTTTATATGACACCTTTAGTTGATTCGGTAGTTTTAAAATTGTGCTTAGGAATACTTTTGTGGGGCTGGAGAGATGGCTCAGCGGTTAAGAGCACCTGCTGCTCTTCCAGAGGTCCTGAGTTCGAGTCCCAGCAACCACGTGGTGGCTCACAACCATCTGTAATGAGATCTGGTGCCCTCTTCTGGCCTGCATGCATACATTCAGACAGAACATTGTATACATAATAAATAAATCTTTTTTAAAAAAAGAATACTTTTGTGTTTTAGAGATTGTAACTTTCAAAAAGCTTAAGTCAAATTGCCTGTGGTTTCTTTTAAATTTGTAGAGTCTACTTTAATATGCTTGGATTTGGAGTTTTGTGGGCATACAACTTTCCAGTACAATGTGATGCCAACTTAATGTTCCATGTGGGTAGACTAAAGTATTCATTAAAAAAAATACATTGAGGCTTTTGCTTACTTTGATGAACCACCAGTTCCTTATGTTTGATCCTTGTACTGTTCATTTTCATTGGTTTTCAAATTAGCAATTGAATTTGTCACTCAGGCATGGTTAATGTAAATAGGTAAGAAAGCTTCTTGTGTCCAAATGAACAAGTTTTACGTTATTGAAATCTGTGTTGTCAGCCTTTTCTCCCTTCTCCTTTTCATTGTTCCTGTCCTTTACAGCAGCAGAGAAGGACTGGAAGGATTTTGTTGCTGGACTTCTTCTTTCAGATAATCTCTTATATGGTAGCTCTGATAGTCTTTGTTTACTTGCTTTGTTTTTTCTCTTTAAAATATTGTGTGTGTGTGTGTGTGTGTGTGTGTGTGTGTGTGTGTGTGTGTGTATGTATGTATGCATTCGAGAGTTTGAGTGTGCACACAAGTGCAGGTACCCCCAGAGGCCAGAGGTAATGGATTCCCCTGGAGCTGGAGTTGCAGGTGTTATGATCCTGGCTGAAGTCGGCGCTGGGACTTGAACTCAGGTCCCCCTGGAAGAAGTGCCATTTCTCTAGCCTGTTTACTTGTTTTAAAGAATGTTACATGGTATATATGATGTTCTCTGCTTCTATTTTTTTTCCTACACATTCTCTCTCTCTTTCCTTCCTCTCTCTCTCTTTCCTTCCTTCCTCTCTCTCTCTCTCTCTCTCTCTCTCTCTCTCTCTCTCTCTTTTCTGAGACAGGGTTTTCTGTGTAACAGCCCTGGCTGTCCTGGAGCTCCTTTTGTAGACCAGGCTGACAAACTCACAAGAGATCCACCTGCCTCTGCCTCCAGAGTGCTGGGATTAAAGACATGTACCACTATGCCTGGCCATTTTCATTATTTTATACGGATACTTTTGGAATAAAATGTTCATGACTGAATTGTTTATATGCTTTTGTGTGTGCTATGTATATCTTTAAATTGTTTTATTGGGTTAATTAGTTAATAGCATTTCAGATTTGTTTCTGGAGTATTGGATGTACTGTGCTGTTGGTCATTTGGGGGGTGGGATAGGGCCGTGCAGCAAGAGCTGCCTGGAACTTGGTAGATGGCTCACACTGGCCTTGAATGCTATTAGTCTGTCTGTCTTTCTTTCATTTATTTATTTTTCGAGACAGGGTTTCTCTGTGTAGCTTTGTACCTTTCCTGAAACTCACTTTGTAGACCAGGCTGGCCTCGAACTCACAGAGATCCGCCTGCCTCTGCCTCCTGAGTGCTGGGATTAAAGGTGTGCGCCACCACCGCCCGGCTAGCTATTAGTCTTTAATTAAGACTGTGAAGTACATACTTAAAGTTTTATGTGTTGAATGTATGTGTTGTATTTAAGATTCAAATTTAAAATTATTTCTGTTACTTTCTTAAAAACAAGACAACTTCTGTCATTTTTATATGTAGTTCTGAGTGCACTAATCATCTACACATCGTTTTTTGAAACAGTATCTTGTAATGTTGCCCAGGCTGGACCTTAACACCTGGGTTTTAAGTGATTCCCTATGTAGCTGGGACTAACATGTGAACACATTTTTTGGCTGTGCTGGAGACTGAAGCCTGAGCCTTGGGCATGCTATTTAGTGTTTCTATGGTCTGTGATCCCTACAACACCCAGAGGTCAGAAGACTACTCATGGGAGTCAGTTTTCACTTTCCTCTGTCTGTTGTCAGGCCTGTGGGCAAGCTCCTTTTCCTGCTCAGCTGTCTTGGAGCCCTGCAGATTTCCTTTCCATTTACCTGTTAGCCTCATTAGCCTCAGTAGTCTTGCCCCTTACGAACATTGTAGAACAACACAGGCTTTTTTTTTATGTTCATGATTGACCTTCAGATTTCCAAATCCTGTGGCTTTATACACTGTATTGGACTTAAGCTACAGTTTCTACTGTTAATTATTTCTTCCCTGAAGTCTTTTCCTTTAGGACTGGTCTTGTTGGTACACCCCTTTGATCCTAGTACTGGGAAGGCAAAGGCAGGTGGACTTCCCTTGAGTTCCAGGCCAGCCAGGGCTCTCTAGTGAGACAGCCTGTTTGAGACTCTCTGACTTCCTGTCTGTCATTCTTTGTTTTCCTTTTACCTGCTTCATCATTTCCGTTGTTTTTGAGACATGGCCTTGCTCTCTATCCCTGGTTGGTATATGCTCAACTCTGTAGCCCAGGGTGGCCTTAACTAATGGCAATCTTCTTGCCTTTCCTTCTCTAGTAAAAGGAATAGTATAGGGCACCACCAAGCCCTGCCTGCTTTTTATAATATTTCCTTTTATTTGTTTCTAGTTGTAATCTGAGGTTCTAAATGAACTTGTATGCCATTCTATTATTTTACCAAAAATCACATTTTTTATTACATTTTTTTCTTTTGTGTGTGCCTGTGTGTATGTGGGCATGTGCATGGTACAACATATTTTTGGAGGTCAGAGGACCATGTGAGTCCAGGAATTGAACTTCGGTCAGCAGGCATGGTAGCAGATAGATGCTCTTATCCTCTGAGCCCTCTCCAGGGCTATCATCCAATTTTTAAACTACCATATTTGCCCATTTACTTCTGAAAACTTCCTAGTGAGGTTGGTGGAACTGGCTTCTGTTTTTAAATTTCTCACACTGAAGTGTTGGGGCCCAGAGTTTAAGTAATATGCTCAAATCCGTAACTGGAGACAGCAGAAAACAGCTGAGATTTAACCCAAGGACATGCTTTTAGCTTCCAGACGTCCCAGGCTTATTTGTAAATTTCCTGTTTAACTTTTCGATCTCAAATTCAACTCTTCATCTGTTCAGCTGATTTTGTAT